TAGTTTAATTACTTCAAATGATGTGAATTTAGGGAATTAGCAATTGCTTTTTAAATCCCAAATAATAGGAATCTGAGTACTAATCATCCAGATGATTTTGCAGGACCATCTGAGAATTTAAAAAAGTCAGGCTAGGTGTGTTGGTACACATATGTGATCTTAGCACTTGGGAGACAGAGGCAGGAGGATTGCTGAAAGTTTGAGGCCAGCCTGTACATAACAAGTTTCAAGACACCTCAACTATTCTAGAAAAGTTTGGACAGGGGAACATGGGCATTCTGGAAGGTGACCATTTCTGCCCTGTCTCAGGCTCTTCTGACTGCAGTGACCTCCCCACACATTGAAATCCATGAAGGCACTATCCTGCAGACAGTGAGGACATGCTACAATATCTACCTAGCCAGCAAAAACCTCATCAATCAAACCACCGCCAAGGCCACGCTTACCCAGATGCTGAATGTCATCTTTACCCGCATGGAAAATCAAGTGGTGAGTGACAGCTGGGCTGGTACATGTTCTGCTGGTATCAGCTCCTGCATGTACAGGGCCACTGACACTGGAAAGTTTATCCTTTCCTGAGACTTCCAATTTTAAAACCAGAGGGCAGCTTGAACATGGGTTTTCAAGTTTGGTCATCACATTCTAAGTTTGCTTTAGACTTACTTCCTTTTAAAAATTTTATACTGGGCTGAGAATATAGCTTAGTTGTAGAGCCCTTCCCTAGTATACACAAGGCCCTAGGTTTAACCCCAGCACCCAGGAAAACAGCACAAAAGTTTTATTAGCTGGTTGAAAATTTTTAAAGCAATAGTCTGCTGTAATTTTTGTTTCTTATTAAAATGCTAGAGCCATTTAGATGGACCCCTTCTCTATTGTGTTTTAGTTACAGGAGGCCAGAGAATTGGAAAAACCAATCCAGTCTAAACCTCAGTCCCCTGTGATCCAGGCCACAGCAGGATCTCCTAAATTCAGCCGATTGAAGCAGAGCCAGGCCCAGAGCAAACCAACAACTCCTGAAAAAACAGAGTTGCCCAACGGTGATCATGCCAGGAGTGGCCTAGGGAAATCGAGCTCAGAAAATGGAGAGGCTCACCGAGAAAGAGGCTCATCATTCTCTAGTTCAGCTGAGCCTTCCAGGGGTGAGTGGGCACCTTCTGGGGTTGTGGGACACACTGGGAAGGGTGGGCTAGCAGTTAAGGAAAGCCCTGGGGGCAGTTTGTCTATTCTGGGCCTTTTTTTGGCCTCCCCTTTGCCCTTACTGCATGGGGCATGGCCAGTGAGGCCTGATGGAAGTCCTGGATGGAGCCACCTGCTGCTGCTCCTGTGGGCCTTATCATAGTAAGTGCAGTTTGGGGCCCTTGGTCTCCACAGGGAGTTAACTAGGTGATTAATCACGTTGTACTTGGCAGTCTGGTACCATGCATAGCCCCTGTGAGGGGCTAGAACACCAGATGGGCAGGTATGTGAACAGACAGGTTGATGGCTTGGAGACACCTTTGTTGTCTTCTAGTTACCAAACAAAATTCACTTTTTTTGTTTGTTTGCTTAAAATAATTTTTTTTTGATTTGTGTGCACTTATGGATGAGCATGGATGGACATGCATGTGTCACAGGACACCTATAGGGCTTAGACAACAGCTTGTGGGAGTCAGTGCTCTGCTGAGGATAGGATTCATGAAGTCAGGCTTTTTTTCTCTTTGTTTTTGTTTTTCTCTCATGACAGGATTTCTCTGTGTAGCTTTGGCACCTTTCCTGGAACTCACTTTGTAGACCAGGCTGGCCTCGAACTCACAGAGATCCGCCTGCCTCTGCCTCCCAAGTACTGGGATTAAAGGCATGCACCACCACCGCCCGGCTCTATCTTAGTTTTTTAAGTTATAAAGAAAAGCATTTTATTTTGACTCAGTCCTGGGCCAAGGTCAGGGAAGGAAGTGTGGTCATCTGGTGATGGCCTTGTTGCTGTCTGTCATGGTGATGAAGAGCATCGTGTGGCATCCTTCTGTATGTTAACTTGACTCTCCTGTTTGTGAATTAGGCTGCCCTGTACAAGTCAGTGCTGTGCAGATGGTGAACTGTATTGTTGGGCAGTGATGATGGTGGGGTACCTCTGCATGTTCGTACAGATGTGTTTTTCCTGCATTCCGTTAGTTCTGTCGGTGTGGAGCCTCTGGATATAGAGCCAACTGTTGTGTTTGCACAGGGCGCTTATAGGTATAGCCTGTACCCTTGCCAGGCTACTGTGAGAAGGAACGATAGGAAGACTCAGAAAAGGGGCAATCCTGCTGCTATTTCAGTGGAAAATCTGCAGTGAGGAAAGGGAGGTCCATGTTGATGTGGACATTTCACTGTTCTTTTTGGAAATGAAATATAGCGAAAGCTGTAGCTAATTAGAAGTGCTTTTTATTTGGTTAGTTGGAAATTTTCATTTTGAATTTAGTCTCTGGGGCCAGATAGGTGAAGGAATGAGCAGTCTTCCTTAGGAGGTACATGAATGTCTTCTCCCAGCACACTCACTCGGTGTTTACGGTGAGGGACAGAGGCTTGGGAGCTTGAGGGACTCAAATCCCCACCCTTGGAAGCAAGCCAAGCACACGTCTCCAGAGCCTTCACTTTAGGCCGCTATTGAATCTCCTTGTGTGTGAAACAGTTCTCTCTGGTCTTTTTTAAAAAGAGCCGCTTTCTTTTTCTTCTCTTTCTCCCACCACTCTCTCCTCCTCTTCCTCCTTTCCTGGACAGGGTATTACTTTTTAGCTCTGGCTTCTCTGGCACCTATTATGTAGACCAGGCTGGCCTGGAACCTCCAGAGATCCATCTGCTTCTACCCCTCTAGTGCTGGGATTAATGGGTCCTTTAACTTGTGACCTTTCTGCTTTAAACTTCCTGTAGTTAGTGATGCAGCCTACCTGCCCCCCCACCCCCAGGCCTGCCTTCAGTGATGGTTTTACTGTTCTTTGTTTTGAGACAGAGTCTCAGTCTCTTCTCTCTCTGGCTCTCTCGCTCTCTCGCTCTCTCTCTCTCATCCTCCTGAGACTGGGTCTCACTATGTAGACCTAGCTGTCCTGGAACTTGATATATGAACCAAGCTGGCCTCAAACTCACAGGGATCAACCTACCTCTGCCTACTGAATACTGGGATTAAAGGCTTGAGTCACCATGCTTGGCCTGGCTTTAGTTTTTTTTTTGTTGTTGTTGTTTTGGTTTGGGTTTGTTTGTTTGTTTTTGGTTTTTCGAGACAGAATTTCTCTGTAACACCTCTGGCTGTCCTGGAACTCACTTTGTAGACCTGGCTGGCCTCAAACTCACCGATATCTGCCTGCTTCTACCTCCCAAGTGCTGGGATTAAAGGTGTGTACAACCAGCACCTAGCCTGGGTTCAAGGGTTTGTTTTTTTTTACATTTTTTTTTTATAATTTAATTTAATTTTCCCAACCCACCCCCCATTCCCATCTCCTCCGGGGCAAAGACTCCCCTGAGGATTGAGTTCAACCTGGTAGATTCAGTCCAAGCAGGTCCGGTCCCCTCCTCCCAGGCTGAGCCAAGTGTCCCTGCATAAGTCCCAGGTTCCAAACAGCCAGCTCATGCACTGAGGACAGGACCCAGTCCCACTGCCTGGATGCCTCCCAAACAGATCAAGCTCATCAACTGTTTCACTTATCCAGAGGGCCTGATCCAGTTGGGGGCTCCTCAGCTTTTGGTTCATAGTTCATGTGTTTCCATTTGTTTGGCTATTTGTCCCTGTGCTTTTTCCAACCTTGATCTCAACAATTCTCGCTCATACAAACCCTCCTCTTTCTCACCAATTGGACTCCTGGAACTCCACCTGGGGCCTGGCTGTGGATCTCTGCATCTGGCTCCCTCGGTCATTGGATGGGATTTCTAGCACGACAATTAGGGTGTTTGGCCATCCTATCACCAGAGTAGGTCAGTTGGGGCTGTCTCTCGACCATTGCCAGTAGTCTATTTGTGGGGGTATCTTTGTGGATTCTAGTGGAGCTCTCTAGCACTTAATAGAAGCCAGATGTGTTACTTACTGAGCAGTCTTTCAGTTAACAATTATTAGCAGCTGATTCAAAGTTTTATGAGCAGTTCACAGCTAAACAACACACACCTGCAAGCCTGCTTATGTCAGCCATCACTTTATGGCCTTTGGTCACACTGAGCCACCCGAGCCTCTAATATCACGCCTCTAATAACACACCTCCATGTCTCTTGGGTGTTGAATTTGAACAGGGTACTGTGAAGCAGACAGCACAGATTAGAAATGATCAGCATAATTTTATGAAGTCATTGCATCAGTGTGTTGGAACTAAATAGGAACTTAGAAATACCTAGTCATGGGCTGGAGTGGAGCTCCATGGTAAAGCATTTGTCCAATATGTGAGGCCCTGGTTCAATCCTCAGTGCCAGAAAGGGGAAAAGCCAGTTCTGAAATATCTAGTCTTAATGTTTACAGATCATGGTGTAGATGATTATATGACTGGTAAGTGAGTAATTTGTATTTTAGTAGTTGCAGACTTACTTTAACATGTATTGCTACAGTATAATTAGCACCTTTTACATTGATATTTGTGGGATTTATTGTTTAAGGTAAATTGAATGCTGTTACATGTGTGATGATATAAGTGGAGCATCAATGGGGCAAAGGTCATGAAGGATGCTGTAAAAACTCAGAGATTTGGGGAACTGTAATCCAGTTTAAATCATGGTTTTGAGGTAAAGAAATGAATTTAGAAGATTTTGGTTGTGGTTGGGTCATTTCTCAGTTTTCATTCAGGTTCTTTTTTGCTCTCCAAGAAAAGGATATGATGTCAGTTATCTCACTCGAGTGGATTTGGTTATGGGTGTTCAGTGACAGCTGAAAATGAAAATACTTAGCACTGTTCCCCAGAACCTCAGACCAAGCCCAGCTCTGACAGTGGACTGAGTCCTCACTGAGGCAAGCACTCTCCCACTCTTTGGTGTTGCTCATTCAAGATGATTGGTGCCTTTTGCTCAGTGCAGTGTTTTCTAACCTCTGATGTCACTTCCACATATCTAGTTGGAGCTTGTTCCATCCATAAGCTCTTCTCTGGGACTAATTTTCTAAAAAAATAAGCAATTAATAGTTAGAGATGTTGGACCTCTTACCATTTGGCAGAATAATTTCATCTGAAATGTAGTTAGTCCTCAAGTGTAGGTTAGAAAGCTCATGCTGAATTCTAGGCAGGCTTGACTCAGGGAGCCCAACATGGCACTCGCCAGAGCTCCATGGTCAGGAGCTTGGTGCAGGCACAGAGAAGCCCATCCTTAGTTCTGCCAGGATGCAGAGCAGCTCTTGCTCAGGGTTCGGGATGGGGTGGCTTGGGCTGAGCAGCTGGGTCTTAGGAAGGAGAAGGGGTCAGGCCAGGGTTTCAGTGCTGCTGAGAGTGAGACTTGAAATCCTAGCAGATCCTTCCCTTGAGTTCTGCATCTGAGGGGGTCCTCACTGCTTGCAGATTTGGTGGTGGAAGGAACACATTTGCACCTCTGCCCTCTAGAGCGGAACTCTAGAAGGCCATTGCCATAATCTCCTCCTTCCTTTCTTTTCCCTGGAAACACCCTGTGTGTGTTCGTGTTTGGGGTGTAAGCAGGCACTGATGAAGGAGCCCAGGAGGTGGTGAAGGACATCTTAGAGGATGTGGTCACATCTGTTGTGAAAGGTGAGTGGACAGCCCTGCCTTTCCTCACGCCTTCTCCTTCGTGGAGCCCCTCAGGAAGCATCTGGTTAGGGGTTCTCCTCAGTGAACTCATAGAGCTCTTGGAAACCGAGATGCTGCTGCCTCCCAGCCTGCACTTGGCACCAGCTGTGATCTGGTCACAGTAATTGGTTCTGTTCTGTCTAGGTTGAGGTGAGGAACCATAGTCTATAGTGGCAGTATTAGATGCTCTATCTACCTGGAGACAGAGGGGTCCACTCCATGTGTCTTCTGCATCAGAGCTGCTAAGATATCAAGGCAGATGTTTATGTGTGCAGTCCACACCGCAGTGAGTGTTAGCACCACAGGGAAGTGGTGCTCATTGGGAGCCTCCAGTCCCACCTCTCATGGTGCGCTCAGTGCTGGTCAGCTTATATGCGCTAGCCTTGATGCTGTTTCTTTTGTCTTTGCCCCAAACTCAGTCAGTGGCTGCATGTTGAACACCGTTCCAGTGCTGTTAATTGGGCAAGAAATTTTTAAAAAATGGTAGCAGGTTGCAATCATCATTTTTTAAATCAAAGACATAGTAGAACACAAATGATTATGTAATTGAGTATGTGAGGCATGGAAATGTTCATTCCTTTTAATAAAATGTCGGGAGTTCTTTATATGTATGTGTCCACACTGAGACATGGTTTACATTCATTTCTATAGGAGTGTTGTGGCCCATGCCTATCCTCCACACTTAGGAGACTGAGGCAGGAGAACCCATAGTGAGTTCCAGGCTGGACATTGAATCCAGGGCCTTACACATGCCACAGTCCCACTGAGTTACATCCCAGTCTGATGTCATAGTTGGAAAGCCACATCTCTGAGCCTTCATTTTGTTAATGAGAGTGCAGCCAAGCTCTTCCAGAGAGCCCAGCACTTATTTAGCTCTGTAGCAAGGCCTTTAAAGAGCAGCAGTAGCCCTGCCATCTGTCATAGTCCGTGCTTGCCCCTCACACCTCAGCCTAGCATGTAGCAGCACTGGGTCAATAACATGTCAAGTAAATAGATGATTTATAAAACTGGCTGGCCATTGAGATCCCTTAGCAGGGGAAGCTGTATCACCACCAAGCCTGAGGACTTAGGTGAAGTCCCTGAGACCCACATAGTGGAAGGAGAGGCTGACTCCCACAAGTTGTCCTCTGTCTCTCCCCCTACACACAATAAATAAATATAATTTTAAAATATTTTCTATTTAGAAAAACATTTTGAAACCGCGTATGATGGCACATGCCTTTAATCTCAGCACTTAGGAGGCACAGGCAGGTGGGTCTCTGAGGCCAGCCTGGTCTACAGAGCGAGTTCCAGGACAGCTAGGGCTGTTACACAGAGAAACCCTGTCTCGAAAAACAAAAACAAAACAAAGAAACATATTTTAAGACTGCTTATTAAGTTCTTCAGTGTCCCATGCATATATGAAGAAATATGTAACAGATTCCTCTCATATTCATTGTTTTGCTTGGTATCAGCTATGTTTTCATGAATGATGAAATTTGTGTAATTTCTATTTTTCACATGGCTTCCAGGAAGCTCAGGTCTGTTTTTTCCTTGTGACTAAGTTTTTTTGGTTTTCGTTCTTTTAAACTGTGTCTTAATTCTTGTGTTACTAACCCTGACCCTTTAAATAAAATCTTTGTTTTCATGTTTTGCTACTTCTAGTCTTTTTCAGAAGTGGAGGGGTGGTCAGGGCTGTTGCATCCATGGCTTTGCAGGGGTTGTGAGTGAACCCCTTCGGGGAGTTATGCACTGCTGTGGCCCTGACAGTGAGCCTGTAGATGAGAGTCAGGCAGGAAGCTTAAGCACCGCTGTGTTGTGGGGGGCTGGGGAAGAAGGGGCACGTGGTACTGAGTCTGTGAGCACGTGCTGTCTGGTTCAGCAGCCTTCTGGGGTACGCTCACTGGACAATGACTTTGCACTTATGTCTTCAGAAGCAGCAGAGAAACATGGTCTTACGGAGCCCGACCGAGTCGTGGGTGCCCTGGAGTGCCAGGACTACGCTGTTCAGCCAGGGGTTGATGAGAACTCGCAGACCAATGGCATAGCCGACGACAGGCAGTCGCTGTCCTCAGCAGATAACCTGGTATGTCCTTGCCATCGCTCATCCCGTATCCCGCGTGGCCACCCTTCCATTTGCAGGCTTTTAGAAGATGCAGAATAAGAAGAGCTCTGTCAGAGAGGTGGCTGTGCAAGAGGGCCATGCACTCTGTAAAGCAGAGTTACCTTTCCTATGTTGGTTATATACACCATCGCTACCAAGTCTCACTGTGTAGCTAGGCTAGCCTCACACTCACAGAGATCTGTCTACCTCTGCCTCTTATATGCATAAATATCCCTAATTCTGTGTGTGTGTGTGTGTGTGTGTGTGTGTATGTGATATGCATATGTGCACATGTTCTTGCCTGTGCTTATGTGGGGGCCAGAAATCAATGCCGGGTATCTTTCTCTGTTGTTTTCCACCTTTTTTTGAGACAGAGTTTCTAACTAAATCTGGAACTCAGTGATTGGCTAGACTGGCTGGTTAGCAAGCCCAGGATCTACTTGTCTACACCTCTCAACATCAGCATTACAGACACATGCTATCATACCTGACTTTCATGTGAGTGCTGCAGCTTTGAACTCAGGTCCTCATGCTTGTGTGCATGACCTCACCCACTGAGCCATCCACTCAGCCCTTCACTCTTTGTAAGGGCAAATTTCTCTAAGCAGTGTCACAGGAGTTGGAAGCTCTGGACTGTGGAATTATCCCAGAAGCAGAGTGCTTGTCCACCATGAGTTAGATAGATTCTGGTCCAGAGTGAAATGTAACTGAATTTAATTGTTTTAAAAAGTGTATATACACATACACACAGAGCAAGAGAGGCAATGTTTTAAACTGAACATAATGCGTGCCCAACAGGCCCGCACTTTGGAGGCTGAAGCAGTGCCAAGTTCCAGGCCACCCTGGGATACACACACACACACACACACACACACACACACAGAGAGAGAGAGAGAGAGAGAGAGAGAGAGAGAGCGAGCGAGCAAGGCTGCTCCTGACAAATGATGATCTGGAAGCTTCAGCCTTTGGTCTACTGGGAAGGCACTACTCAGGTCCTGCCCTTCCCCGCTTAGTCTTTTAAAAGCCATTTTCTCTTCCTTCATTAAAATTGAGTGACAGCATTCATTTGAATCTTTATATTCTGACAGGACAATCCCACCATAATGGCCAGTAATAATGTTTGTTTGTTTGTTTATTGTTGTTGTTTTTTAAGACAGGGTTTCTCTGTAACAACCCTGGCAGTCTTGGACTCACTTTGTGGAACTCCCAGAGATCCACCCACCTCTGCCTGTGCTGGCATTAAAGGCATATGATGCCACATCCAGCTAGGTTTAGTTTATATTTGGCTTGTTTTTTTTTT